TAACCTGTTTTAAAGCATGTAGATGAATATTTATGGGAAATTTGAGGATGATACATTTATAGGTTTATTTGTTTTTATTATTTGATGGGATACATACATGTATGTGATAAAGTTGCTGTTATTAGGTTTGTTTTTATTAGCCCCCCCCCCCCCCAAAAAATTATCCAAAATTGATGCTCCCATGCATCTTATAGTTTTATTTTGAAATTATTCTAATAATTGTGCTTTTATTTTGAAATTATTCTAATAATTGTGCTTTTATTTTGATGAAACCAGAAAATCAAAAAAAAAAATCATTTTTTCTGGATCTAAATTTTTGCAATTTTATTGAATTTCATCTGATTCTTTTTATTTCCTATAAACATTTTATTTATTTTGGATGCTTAATATATAGAATGCAACATTGTTGCTTTCACAATCTTATTGTTATTACAAAGTAATGGTATCAGTATGACCATTTCCATTTCTCAATTATTTTAGCTGGTTATCTTCGTCTGCCATTATTATACATACTGGTATATGTATTTGCAAATGTTTGCAATATTTGAATTACTGCAAAGCATTTGGATAGAAGGTGAATCTGGGTGAATCATTCAATACTTGAAGGTATGAATATGCTCAAATTGTGCATATTTATGCATTTTCTTTTAAATTGTCGTAAAACATAGCAATAAATGTATCATCTGAGAAGAATCCCCATATTAGTTGTCACTTTTGGTAATGGTAATGCTCTGTAGAAGTATATGCAGAAGTCACCTTATTAATGTCTAACTCCGGAATCTATCAAGTAATAAGTAATTCATGCTACTCTGGTATAATAGTTTAGTTTGATGTCTTAATGTATTCCTATATTTCTCTCTCTATTGTTTGTGTTGTTGGAATATTCCAACTAAGTGGTAAAAATGTCCCGCTTTAATGCATTTTCGTACTTCATCATCATGCCACTTTCTTCTATACCTTCTCAATTTCCACCAAACACTTGTTCACTTCCTGTTTTCCCCTGATGCCAACTCTTTCTCTGTCTCTATGAATGCTTCTATCTTCACCATTTGCTCACCTCCTACATCAACTACTTTTTATTGTTTTTTTTTTAATGTGGTGTTTTATTATTTAATTTTCTCCTGGGTATTGCTTGCTTTCTCTTTACTCATCTAGCCAAAGACTGGAACCATGGCAAAGATCTTAACAAAACTGTTGATGTGTATGATGCCCGACTTGAACCCTGGTAAATTGTTTTTTCCCCATCTCACAAGTACGCTTCACCATCAGCATCTGCCTTTATTCATTTTGTCAAACTTGCAAAAACTCATCATTGCACTGCTCTGCACCCACAAAAGGCTATATCCATATTTACCATCTTTGCTTTCCTAATAAAATAACAATGATGTGAACTTTGTATTGTGTTGCAGTACCGACTAACGTGTTTGCTCAGTTATAAGCAGGTGTTTTTAGGCAATTATTTTAGTGGAAATACTGTACACTGTAAAATGCTCACTGCTAAAACTGTTTATTTGATGAAGGCAAAGACAAAAATTTCATGAGAATCACTGTGATTCACTATCAACGATCTCAGTGAACTGGTACACTGTACCTGCTACAAAATTTGCAATTCTCTCAGACTTTTTGAAATTCATGAAAATTTGGCTATTGTAAAATTAAGGTTTTCAGTATTCCACAGTTGTGATAAAAAGGTTACTTCTGTGAACACATGCGTGTAATAGAACAAGTGTGGTATGTACTGCTGCTAACTATATGTACTAAAATAAAAGTAGCTTCTTGACATGTACTAGCAATTGCATTCCTCTATTTGACTGATACAGCCCACAATTGGAGTTTAGGCCCTCTAATGATAGATGAGTACGATGTAAGGAGGCGTACTTGGTAAGTATTTAACATCATGAAATGTTTAACTTTGAATGGTTTTGGTCTGGTATCTATCTGTTGTAGATTTAGTACATGTAAATGTATATCTTCTTGTCAGTCTTAGTCTCTATCTTATTAATGTTTTAAACTTTAACATTTCATTGAATTTAAAAGATATATTTACTGGAATTGTATTGGGTATATATGTGCTGAACTAATGGGGAAAGATAACTATTGATTGTTATAACTTTATCATAAATCTGCTTGTTTCAGACTTGCGGTAAAATACTGTAAACGTAGTACTCTGTGCATGATAGGTGAAAATTGTAAACAATAACAGAGCTAAACAGTAAATCGTTTCTTGTAATGCATGAAAAAAAAAATTATTGGGTATTTGACTAAATTGCCATTAAAGTCATATTGCTTAAATTTCTGTTGCAAACCTCAGATATTTTATTAGTTGTCTGAGTGCAAACAGACCCATTTCATGCTTGAAGAGCGCCCTCTATATACTTTGTAAAAAGCTGACTAGAATGTATACTGCCCTCCAGTGGTTGTAATCTGATATGCATTATGTGGACTATGAAGTTGTCTGGTATAGACAAAATATCCTCTATGCATTGCTGAGTAGAGATTTATGTGTCTGTTAATTCTATATTCACTGAAGTGTGGCAACAAAGATTACACAATATTTTTTGTCAGACCTCTGTCACAATCAAATCAAACTTGTAATTAATAAAAAATGGAATCAACCCTGAAAATTGAACTGTTGAATTCATTGTGTTTATTGTATCGATATCTATCGTTATTTGAAGCAATGGCGTGATGACATTTTTGAACAAAAAATTCATTGACTGTCATCTCATTCAAAATTTGTGTTTATCGTACTAAATCCTACATATTGGGAAACACATTCAACATATTCTGACATTCTCTGAGTAATCATGTTCAAACTTATATAAACATAATACATGTACCGGTATATCATGTTGCACACATGCACATGTGTTTGTTTGATGTTTGATTCAAGATGGCTAAATGGTCTGCTGTCAACTTTGTCAAGCAGAGCTTATCTTATGAGTGATTGTCGGTCGTCAACGTCTGCATCAAGTTTTTACTTTTTTGACTTTGTCTTGAAAACTACAAGTCTGATTGCTTTGATTCTTGTTGCCTTTGGTGGACCTCTTTCAGTTTTATTCAATTCTTGATGATATCTTTAATTCTCTAATTTTGGTGAATATTTTTGTGAAAAAATGATATATTCGTCTTATTGTTGAAAAAAGCAAGTCTGATTGATTTGATATTATACATATACATGTAGGGTTCTACAAGTGGACCTCTCAGATTCTTTAATTAAAATGTGCATTGCTCAGCAGAGAGACTGCTTGTTAATGAATTCATCAAAATCGTACATTTCTACCAGTCAAAACCAGATTTGGGTCATATATGGATGAGTTTTGTTGTTACATGGTTTGCACATTCGATATAATGGAACATTGTTGCTTGTCATTTTGTTTTTGACTCCCATGTGCGAAGCACAAAATGGGAGTCTTTGCAGTTAGTGTGTCTGTATGTGTGTGTGTATGTGTGTATGTGTGTATGTGTGTGTGTGTGTATGTGTGTCCGACTGTTCCACTGCTATCTCAAGAACCATACATCGGTTTTTGATGAAACTTGGTGCATAGATGCTCTGGGCCAATGCGCAGATTTGATTAGGTTTTGGTAAAAATCCATGCTCGTTAATTACCTAATTTGCATGATAATTAGCTAATTTTTAGCTGTTCTATGACTGTTCCACTGATATCTAAAGAACCACTCATTGGATTTTGATGAAACTTGGTACATAGATGCTCTGAACATATGCGCAGATTTGATTAATTTTTGGTAAAAATCCGTGCATATTAATTACCTAATTTGCATGATAATTAGCTATTTTTTAGTGGTTCCATGACTGTTCCACTGATATCTAAACAACCACTCAT